AGAGACATGTAATTTTACTCGTCTGAAACATTCGATCACGTGTATGCACAACGAAGCGCAATGATGGAGCTATTAATATTTAAGAGAATTATTATTCGCAAAGGTTTTGAGGTTTAACATGGATCCGTCGATCGGGTTTCCGGCGACTTCTTCCAACCAAACAAGGAGCTTCGGACATAAGTCGGAGACTATCAGATGATATCAAATACTTCTTTGGGTGGATCCTGAAGCTATCGCTAAACGACTCACGGTACTCCGTACGGAGTATCCGCTACCTAATTATGGAGAAGATGATTTGGAATACTTTTTCATGCTAGGCATTGTCGATCGATGTCAATCGACCATCTATAGGGATATGCATAATCCGATTCGTCAGACTTAAGCATGGGCCTTGCCTTTCCCAAGGGGAAGCTTAATGCCCGCAGCATGCCGTACGCTATCCCAGACACTGTCCCGGACTTTCACAGGGAGCTTGTGTCCCTTCAGGAACTGGTCGATCAACCACATTCCAACAACGAATTCTTCACGAATCAAGAGCCCTATATGTTGGTGATCGACTAGATCCCACACTTGCCCCAGAATTGCCTCTGGTAGGCGGCTGCGGGACCAGATTTCCCTGGCCACCAGGTTGAGAACCATATCCGAGGCATTAGGTGGCCATGGTCCGGTTCCACTAGGATCGGGAGGGATGAGAAGCCCTTTATTAGAGGCCCAAACACCTTCGTAACGTTTGCGTTCTTTCTCGGTGACCTCGCTTCGCCAGCGCTTACGGTCCCCCTCCTTGTGTTTGTGGGGGTGTTTGTGCAGGGGGTTTCTGTGTTTTCGGTGGTCGGCCTCGGTGGGTTTCGGCATGCCGCGGAGTGTCATCGGCATGCTCTTCGGTGGACTTGGTGTCCTTGAGAGATCGCTCTTGGGTTGGTGTGCCAAATGTAGGATGGATCGGGCCCCTCGCCGCTGTGGAGGAACTGGCGGGGGAGTCTTGATAGATGGGGATGCTCGTGCTGATGCTAGGGATGAGGCGATAATAGCATTGGAGAGGCCTTCCTCACTCATTCCAATGGAGTCATCTATTGTGCTGGAGGTACTCGTTGTATGTGACTGGCTTGATATGGATACCTCGCTCGGTGTCAAAGGTCGCAGGGGTGTTCCATGGTTTCTGGTAGACCCTCGTGATGGAGGCGCACGCGGCGGAAGCCTTGGTTTCAGCTCATCTGGCTGCGCAGAAGAATTCCTAGACTCTAAGGAGGGTTGGGGGCTCGGGCCTCGACCATCCTGATCATCTAGAGTAGTCTTGGATTGTCGCGATGGAGAGCGCCCGTAGATAGGGAGATCTGAGTCAGACTTCAAGCCATTTTCATGCAGCATGCGATCTAAGGGACTATGCCTCCCTTGAATCGAGCGAAGAGCGGCAGGTGCTGGTAGCTGTCGCTTTTCTGGCGACGGTGGCACCTGGCTCGCACTTCGTACTGCACCTGCGCCAAGTCTGGCGGTTGTCGACGGGGCACTGGTGTCCCGCCCGGGGGACCTTGATGCAGCGAGCCGCGCCGCAATCTGGGAGGCCGAGGAGAGAGATGCGGCTGAATTTCGTCCCCTCACACTTGGTGATGTCCTGGCTGGAGGCGAAAGTGGTCTGGCCAGTCTCTCGATCTTATCCTTTACGGAGCCCACTTCGGGGGCGTCGGATCCAGTCCTTTGATGACCCAAAGGATGATGATCGCTTGCCATTGCAGCAGTGGCAGCAGAAGATCTAGGCTTCACATTGGGTGAGGGATCCCTAGAGTGTTGGAATGCAAGCGTGGCGCCTTGTAAAGCGTCATTCCGGGCCACACCCAACCGCTGGTTCGCGGCAGCAGCCTCCCCACTCATGGAATCGATTCCCCGCAAAATTCAGCAAATATGCGAGTTATGCGACTTGAAACAAGGATTGTACTAAGATGATCAGGATGATCAGGGTGATCAGGATGGTCTTGCGATTTATTTCTGAGATGTTTAGGGGGAAATATCAACGGGAATTGCCCGTGCACGCGACCGTCCACGTCTCTTCTACGCGACTATGTGTGTATCGTACACATGTAGAATCACACATCGCGATTAAATCATTTTCAGACGTTATATCTGTATGATATCTCAGTTCTATAAAATTCCCAAGATTACAATTATACTTCGTCAACTCCGCACAGTCAACCCCAGATTTTAATTAACCGAGCCGCCTTCGATTCATCCGTTCTCCGCTTTGCCTTCCCCTCTTCCATCTACCTCTGCAATGTGACTTGCATGTCAGCTGGGCTTGAGGAAATGCTATCTGCTTCTCTGAAGCACAGTCGGAGCCATGCTCTCGGGTAAAGACAACCCCAAGGATCCTGTTGAAACGCATGGGAGGTTCGAGGTTCGCCAAGAGACAGATCAGAATGCAGACGAATTGGTTGCCGGTCACATTAAATGCTCAGTGTGTAGCAGTACCTTCCGACGGCCAGAGCACCTGAAACGACATCTGCGGAGTCACACTAAGGAGAAGCCGTTTGAGTGTGCCCAGTGCGGCCGGCACTTTTCAAGAACGTATGCGCTTGGGTTACATCTATCCTTGCGTCGAGTCGCACGCTAACCGAGGCCCAGTGACACCCTTCATCGACATGAGTTGAGTCACCATGCACCAGGGATAGGAGGGAAAGATCGCACCCACCGCATTACCGTCAAGACATTCCGAGCATGCTTTAGCTGCGCAACAGCCAGAGTAAGATGTAGCGGCGGCACGCCATGTGGCCGGTGCGACACTCGTTCACTCGGATGTGAATACCCCACACAAAGGCGGTCCAAAGCAAAAGACATGAGAGATTCAGGGCAAGAAGCCGAGGTGCAGAACGACAACCTCAAACCCATGCACCAAGATTTGAATGCAGCTTCTAGGCAGAGCCAGTTTTCTATACGCTTGCAAAATGAGCCGGTATCATCCCGAAATTTGCACAATTTATCATCTACGCCCGGTAGTGATCACACAAAACGAATACCACAAAATGGACACACCATTGCAGACGCCTCGAATCCTCGTTTCTATCTCCCAAATGAGATACAAGGGCCGTCTGAAACACTGCCACTAGGTGTTTTCCCTGGAGGTATCAAGCAGACATATGACAACTCGAGCTCTGACATCTCCAAAGTATTCCCTGTTGACTCATCCAACAATTTAGGCTCTGAAATGAGGGATATCCAGCCGAGAATGAACCCAGCAGGTGACATCGAAATGACCATGGCAAATAATCCAGAGGTACCGCTAGAGTTTGATCCCACGCTCTTTGACCAGTCCATGCTTTCCACGATCAATTGGCTCCCTAGCGAATTGCTTCCAGGCGATCCTAATGGCCACGCACATTCTACTGGTGTTCCCTCGCAATACGACCGATCTCTCAGCCGAAGTGCCTACTTCTCTCGGGCAGCGTGGCAACCGCCGGTTATCAGTACTGGGCAAATCGGTTCTTTGCAATCAGAACGAGTCTCTCAGACACCCTCTGTGCATCTTTCTCAAAGAAATAACATGGGAAGCCCCAACCAATATTCCCACGGTATTAGTGAGCCTTCACCTCATACTGAGTCAGTGGATTCCGCCAAGGGATCAGCGGACTACTACGTTGATGGTGCGCCGTCCAGACTCCCGAAGTACGGAAAGAAGCACACGCCTTGGCCCGGTGAATCTGTAGAGCGGGCCGATACTGGCAGGCAGCCGCTCATTGAAGATGACGAGTGCCGGTTCAACTTCCCTGTTATATCCGAACTGCGACAAGATCAGATATCGGAAGATATAGCCCGGTCCACACGACGGATCGAAACCACTACCTACGACGGAATTTATCGGCACTTTATTCGGCTATGCTGCAATGAAACTCCATTTTTTGAGGTATTCGAATCCGAGAGGTTTCCCACTGTGGACGAATGTAACCAGTTCATCGTCTTCTTCTTCGATTCATTCCAGGCCGTTTATCCGATATTACACCTTTCTACATTTGATCCAAATACAAGCCATTGGCTCTTGACTTTGTCAATAATAGCCCTCGGTTGCCATGTGTCCCACATATCCGAGACGGAGCAGTGTACAACTGCTCTCCACGAGCTGATTCGGCGGGGTATCTATCTTGAGGTGAGAAAGGTCTTCCCATCCCATTCATTACTTTCTTGCTAATTGTTTGCACTACTAGAAAGAAAAGAGTCGCGCTGGTCAGGCTTCTCTCGAGATATTGCAAGCTATGTTGTTCAATTGCATTGGACTTCTCCATAGTAGGAGCGAACGAGAAAAGGCCTCGGCATTGAGTACCTTTGGTGACTTGGTGACACTCATGAAAACTTCCCGGTTATTGACGCCGATGCGAACAAAATTCAATGAGGCGTCGCAAGATGCAGCCTGGGCGTCTTGGATTCAAGATGAAGTCAGGAGACGCACCGGCTATTGTATATGGGTAAGCTTTGTCGAAAAATGGAGCCTTTACTTTTACTGACAATGATAGCTTGTGGGTTGTACGCTTGCATATTACTTTGATAATCAACCTCTGCTTTCTCTAGATGATGCACAAGCTGCATTGCCCGCGCATGATAAGCTATGGCAAGCATCCTCCGCCGAGACATGGAAGCCGTTGTGGGCAAAGTCAATTGGTAACTCTTATTCAGACCCAAAAACCGACCAATATCTAACTTCTACAGCCAACGAATCCTTATACGACGCAGTCCACATCCTCTACATTGAGAAGAAAGTAGTATCCGGCATAGGAGAATTTAGTCATATTCTACTCATCCACGCTCTCTACCACAGAATGTGGGAAGTAGGAGACTACTTCCGCCGCCCACTATCATTCTGGAATCCGACAGCGAGGAAGCAATCTTGCGAGACAGCCATTCCCACAGGCTCAGTATGGCTGCCAGGAATCCCCTCGTACTCGAAATGGCGCAACAGCGCATGCGACTGCCTCGACATCCTGCACTGGACCGCCAACAGCACCGTAGCCAAAGCTGCAGGCCTCGAGCACCCGACCATCCTCCACCTCCACGCCGCCCGGCTATTCATTCTCGCTCCGTTCCGCGAGATGCGCTCCCTCGCAACCTCCCTGGCAACAGAAAAGCAGCGTTGGAGCAAACGACACCAAACCCTCGAGTGGCAGTACATTTGGCGTTGGATGAAACATGACCAATACAAAGCCCGGCTTTCAATTATCCACGCTGGTGTCACTCTCTGGCACATCCGTCGCTACTCAACCAACGCTTTCCACGAGCCTGTCGCGGCTTTCATCGCTGTGCTGACGTTGTGGGCGTACGGATCCTGTCACCCGCATACGTCCCATGAGTCCAGTCCGGGTGCAGAGCCGCTCCGCGAACCGAGTTTTATTCATCTTGATCGGCCGTGCGATGATGAGCTTGTGCAGCTTTTTGTTCGTGAAGGTCATGCTATGAGAGGGAATGTTACTGGTGTCGGTGATATATGTGGGGCTGAGGGTCCGGAGAGGGTCCTGCGAGTCGGATGTGAGATTCTTTCGGGCTTGACGGCCTGGAGTGTTTCGAAGAGGTTTGTGGCAATCTTGATGCGGCTTGCAGAATTGAGCTCGTATAATTCCTCTTGGGAACAGAATTGCCGGCATGATGCTGAGCATGTCTGATTTGTGGCGGGGGTGGAGGATGAATCATCTACGGGAAGTAAACATACTATTTCTTATTCTTTATTATAGTGTTTGTATTGGTCTATTCGTCTGTTTTGTATATAGATTTGACATCGGGTTCCTGAAGATGTTATCCCCTTGTAAATCCACTTTTTAGATGTCTATAAATGTCTACTAGCCACCATGTTAGTTAGAGGGAGGGGGCACTATCAAGAAGAAACCGGACCTTGGGCGCCGGACGAATTGCCGAGCCACAGAAGCCTCAAATGGCCAAGTTAAGTGACCCTCGCACTTTCTGTCCATGCTCGGGGCAAGATACCATCATGACTGCCATACCGCTATTCAAGTTCTGCGTTCCAATAGACTTGAGGCTAGGTCCGACAAAGGAAACAGATGCAACTCCGTTCATCTTCACGTCAACCGCCTCCCTATCCGCCAATGCCTGCAAGAAACGGGATGCCATTGTGGTTTTATGCAGAGTTCAAGTCAATAATTTGCGGTTGACTTGACAGGCTCCACAGAGGGGATAGCAGACGGTTGACTGAGGGGTGATGTGAAGATGGCACCATAGCATCACAACATTGTATACCACGCGATACACACATGCCCAGACAGACACCATGCAGTTCAAATGTGACTGCTTATATCAAACCCGCCAGACTTCCTACCTTGGAAGATCCCTAGGTATCATCTTCCAGATCTTAGAATAAGAACATGACGAATCCATACAAGGACCTCAGGCTTGCTATTGAGAACGGCGACACTGAAGCAACTGTCAAGTTGCTGGACAATGATCTTACAATGGAGGACCATCATTTTCGCACTGCAACTGTGAATAAGCACATGGGTATTCTAGAGCTGTTCTTGTCTCGTGGCTGGGAAATTGACGCTGATATGAGTGACACGGTACCATCGGCGTTAGTGTAAGTGTCAAATCCTTATTATACCGGATAGGAAAGCTTACACTATTGTGCTAGGTATACCTTTGAAGATGTGCGATTTCTCAAGTGGTCCCTAAGCCGTGGCGCAGACCCAAACAAAACGTGCAGTATTCGGAACTGCACGCCATTATCCTACGCAATCCAGGATGGCCCTTTTGATGCCGTCAAGATCCTTTTTGAAAATGGGGGCCAAGTCCGAGATGGGCAGCTTTTGCGTTACGCCGCGATGCGAACCAAAAACGACAACCATGAAGTGCTGTAATTCATTTACAATCAAGATCCCGACTATAACAAGCTATGCATCAACAAAATGCTTGACGAGTGAGCCCCGGAATATTCTATGAATGAAAGAAGTGGGCTTGGCACCCCATTACACTACGCCTCCCGGTCTGGTTCAGCAAAAATGGTGACATTCCTGGTAGAGCAGGGCGGAGCTCCTGATCTTCAAGCTACTTACCGCCGGACACCAATCGGCTACGCGGTTCGTAACGGGCATCACGAAATGAACAGATCTTGAAGGATAGGGTGAATGTGGGTATAAGTTTGGCACAACATTAGAGCCATATGTAATTCCTACAAAAGCAAAGAATCCCCGCGTTTTGTCTTCTTCACATTGTTCAATTGTCACGCCGGCACGTTGAGTGGGCCCCGAGCACTATAATTTTCTTTCCACATAATCAATGATGAATACTAGTTATGTGCCCCTATCGCCGCTAGTAACAAACCAAGACCTGACCCACCTCCAGCGGCCTTGTCTCGTCGATCCAGATGCTGATGGTCCCTCAGAACCCAGAGTCGAAGATTACAACATAGATCAAGGTCTCAGAGATTGGTTATTATTAGGGAGTCCAAAGGTATCGGTGATACCAATTCTCTGTTAGATAGAATGATCAGATAATAGTAATATCTGGAAAGAGGATTGCTCTCTCAGCTTGTTGTCCGGAAATCAGGTGGAGCCGTCCTTATCTTATCAGCAGTGCAGCCTAAAAGCATCTGGGGTACAAGTGCAACTTCTGACTTCTGACTCTCAACTTTTCCAAAGATGAATTCAGACCAGATATTAGGGCAGGATGTCCTCGAGCCAGAGAAAGAAGAAGATCTGGACGAAAAGTGAGCCCAAAACTAACTCATGACACTGAGGTTCTGGGTAGTTGACTGATAACTGCTCGCAGATACCCCAACAGACCTCGTAACCGGGCCCCGACATTGCCGTTCCACAGTCTGTACCTCGACCTATTCAATCCACTGAATGAACTCAAGAAAAAGCCTGCAGGGCCTGCCCCAGCTCGCCGAAAAGCTGGTCCCCATGGCAAAGGTGCTGCGAGTCTCAACCCGTTCGAGCGCCGGCGCGATGTGATTGAACGCTTTATTTCGCGGTGGCGCAAGGACGTCGGCGATGATATTTACCCCGCCCTTCGACTGATTCTTCCCGACAAAGACCGCGATCGACCTATGTACGGGATCAAGGAGAAGGCTATCGGAAGGATGCTCGTCAAGATCATGAAGATCAACAAAGAATCAGAGGATGGATACAACCTTCTGAATTGGAAGCTTCCCGGCCAGGGTGCTACAACACGCATGGCGGGTGACTTTGCTGGGAGATGCTTTGACGTTCTCTCGAAACGGCCTATGCGGACCGATCCGGGCGACATGACGATCGAGGAGGTCAATGAGAAGCTAGATAAGCTATCTGCCGCGTCAAAGGAGGATGAACAACTGCCAATCTTGACGGAGTTCTACCGGCGGATGAACCCTGAAGAGCTTCTGTGGCTCATTCGCATTATACTTCGACAGATGAAGATTGGTGCTACCGAGCGAACATTCTTTGATGTTTGGCACCCCGATGCTGAGAACCTTTACAGCATCTCTAGTAGTCTGCGACGTGTGTGTTGGGAGCTGCATGACCCCAATATCCGGCTCCAGGGAGAGGAGCGCGGTATCACGTTGATGCAATGCTTCCAGCCTCAGCTGGCCCAATTTCAGATGCATTCATTTGAAAAGATCATTGCTCGTATGAAACCGACAGAGGATGACAACGTGTTTTGGATTGAGGAGAAATTGGATGGTGAGCGGATGCAACTCCACATGGTGCATGACAATTCAACCAAAGGCGGTCGGAAGTTTGGCTTCTGGTCGCGCAAAGCGAAAGAATATACCTATCTATATGGGAATGGGATTTATGATGAGAACGGCGCTCTGACAAGACATCTTAAAGATGCTTTCGTCGATGGAGTACAGAGCATTATTCTCGACGGCGAGATGATCACCTGGGATCCTGAACAGGACGCCATGGTTCCCTTTGGCACGCTCAAGACCGCGGCGCTGGCGGAACAACGCAATCCTTTCTCAAATGGTCAGCGACCTTTGTTCCGTGTGTTCGATATCTTACATCTTAATGGACGCGATCTAACAAAGTATACCCTTCGTGATCGTCGCAATGCCCTGGAGAAAACTGTCCGACCTGTCCATCGCCGGTTCGAAATTCACTCTTACGAGGAAGCTACTACCACCACAGAAGTTGAAGCGGCTCTGCGGAAGGTCGTCGCTGAGGCCTCAGAAGGCCTTGTGTTGAAGAACCCGCGCTCTCCATATCGACTGAACGAACGCCATGATGACTGGATGAAAGTCAAACCAGAATATATGACCGAATTTGGAGAGTCCCTTGACGTTGTTGTGATTGGCGGATACTATGGCTCGGGTCGTCGAGGAGGTGCGCTGTCCAGTTTTCTCTGCGGACTACGAGTCGACGACAGCACACAAGCAGCAGAGAAATGCTGGTCATTTTGTAAGGTCGGTGGCGGGTTTACTGCAACTGACTATCAGGAGGTGCGCCACCATACAGACGGCAAGTGGAAGGCGTGGGATGCGAAAAAGCCTCCGACTACCGTTATCGAACTGGCAGGTGGAGACGCCCAGCATGAGCGTCCAGATATGTGGATCAAACCATCCGACTCAATCGTTTTGTGTGTAAAAGCTGCGTCTGTCGGAATCAGTGACCAATTCCGCATGGGATTGACATTGCGGTTTCCTCGCTTCAAGAAATTGCGCAAGGACAAGGACTGGAAAAGCGCGCTCTCAGTTCAGGAGTTTCTTGACCTGAAGTCCAATGCAGAGCAAGAACACCGGGAGAAAGAGTTCTCTGTTGATAACTCTCGAAAGAAGCGAGTAAAGAGGGCCACTAAGAAACCACTCACAGTTGCTGGGTATGACGATAATGTCGATGTCCAGTATCTTGGGCCTTCTGGACATGTCTTCGATGAGCTTAACTTCTGTATGTGGTTTGATCGTGTTCCCTTCTTATCGTACGTTATACTAATATAATGGCCCTCTAGTCATAATGACCGAGTCGAGCGTCCCAGAAAAGAAAACTAAACTTCAACTGGAACAGCTCGTGAAGGCTAATGGTGGCAAAATCTATCAAACCAAGACAGCTGCGGTAGACACGCTCTGTATTGCCGAGCGGAGTGAGCTTCACACTACACATATGAAATAACCCTAAGCTAATGTTTCGGCAGGAACGGTCAAAGTAGCTTCATTACAAAAGAGTGGAGAGCAAAACATCATTCGACCATCTTGGCTTATCGATTGCGTCAAGCAGAATGAAATAGACGCAGGCCTTCCGGATCTTCTTCTCCCGTTCGAACCAAGGTACGTTTTGACAGCCAAAGATACACATACACAGGGCTAATATTTATCGATTTCTATAGACACATGTTTTTCATGATAGAGGACAAAGAGGAAGAAGTCGCAGCAAATGTCGACAGATTCATGGACAGCTATGCTCGTGATACAACTGTCAATGAGCTCAAGGACGTATGACACCCCAGAGGAATAGCGAGAAACAACCATGGCTTTGGCTAACAAGTATTCAATCTTGCAGATATTCAAGCAAATGGAACAAAACAAAGAGCAGACCGACCATGTCGCTGATCTAGAAACCGCTCAGAGAATCGAGACTCGCATCCAGGAAAGAGTAAGCGCCGGCTATACAGTACCCCGTGGATGGCTCTTTCGAGGCTTGAAGTTTCACTTCTACTCGGACGGGAATCAACCGGACGA